GTGGCATGCCCGGTTCGGACATCTCAGCTTTGACGCGCTTGGTCGACTGGAGAAGATGGTCCGAGGGCTACCCCACATCAAGCACGGAGGAGAGCTGTATGACAGCTGCTTGGTAGGGAAGCAGAGGAGGCTATCTTTCCCAAAGGCGGCCAAGTATCACGTGAAGGACGCTCTCGAGCTCATCCACGGTGACCTCTACGGGCCGATCATGCCTGCTACAAACGGTGGTCGGCGGTACTTCCTCCTGCTCATGGATGATTACAGTCGCTACATGTGGCTGCAACTCCTGACAAGCAAGGACAAAGCGGCGGTGGTGATCAAGAAGTTCAAGATGCGCGCGGAGGCCGAGAGCGGCAAGAAGCTCCGCGTGCTGAGGACTGATCGCGATAATGAATTCACTTCGGTGGAGTTCGTTGCGTACTATGCGGATCAGGGTGTGGGGCAACACCACACCACGCTGTACTCGCCACAATAGAATGGTATGGTGGAGCGGCGGAACCAGACGGTGGTTGGCATGGCCCGATCCATGATGAAGGCCAAAGGCATGCCAGCAAGGTTCTGGGGAGAGGCGGTGACCACGGCAGTGTTCATCCTCAACCGCGCTTCGACCAAGGCCATGACGGGCAAGATGACGTTCGAAGCTTGGTATGGGCGTAAGCCGAGCGTGTCCTTCCTCCGGACATTCGGCTATATCGGCCACATTAGGAAGACAAAGCTGAACCTCACCAAGCTAGAGGACAGGAGCACACCCATGGTGTTCCTAGACTATGCGGAGGGTACCAAGGCGTACCGGCTCTACGACCCATGCGGAGACAAGGTGCTTGTCTCGTGCGACATCGTGTTCGACGAGGAGGCAGCTTGGGACTGGAGCAGTCCGAGCACGGGGCAAGCTGGCAGCTTCACCAACACCTTCATCGTTGAGCACCTGGTCATCCACGGTGGTGGAGATGCTAGGGAAGAGGCGCCGAGCACTCCAAGAGGAGTGCCGAGCACTCCTGAGGCAGTGCCCAGTACTTTGGGAGGGATACCGAGCACTCAGGGAAAAGTGCCGAGTACTCCTAAAGGGATGCCGAGCACACCAGGAGTGGTGCCGGGAGGTTCTGTAGTGGTGGCGACCACTCCAGGACGGGTGCTGAGCACTCCCATGGCGGAGCCAAGACGTCTTACAGTGGTGCCAATAACTCCTAGACTAAGGCTAGGCACTCCTACAGTGTGGCCGGACACTGCAGGAGTTATGACGAGCTGTCCAGAACTAGTGCCGAGCACTCAAGGTGTTGTGCCAAGCACTCTGGTGGAACAGGGAACTCCATCGACGTCGATCGAGTTCGCCTCACCTTCAAGTGACATCACTGAGTTCGTGGATGCCTTCCATGAAGGTGGGGAGGTGCGGTTCCATAGGCTGGACAACATCATCGGTGGCACAGGTCCCTCAGGCTTGGCGGGTAGGCTGCTCAATGACGCAGAGCTGCTACTCGTCAGTGCAGAGGAACCACCCACGTTCGCGCTCTCCGAGTGCGATGGAAACTGACGACGGGCGATGCTAGAGGAGATGAAGGCGATCGAGAAAAACGAGACTTGGCAGCTCATCGATCCACCTCTAGAATGTCGTCTGATCAGCCTAAAGTGGGTGTACAAGGTCAAACGGGACGAGCTCAGCGCCATTGTCAAGCACAAGGCGCGCCTCATCGCCCGAGGCATTGTTCAGCGCGAGGGCATAGACTTCGAGGAGATCTTTGCGCCAGTAGCGCGCATGAAGTCGGTCCGTTTGCTACTAGCTTTGGCAGCAGCAAAGGACTAGCGCGTCCATCACTTGGACGTTAAATCGGCCTTCCTCAACGGCGACCTGGCGGAGACGGTCTTCGTCAGGCAACCTCTAGGTTTCGCCGTCAAGGGAGAGGAGCACAGGGTGCTCCGACTGCGCAAGGCGCTCTACGGGCTACGGCAGGCCCCATGAGCATGGAACGCCAAGCTTGATGCCACGCTAGGCGAGCTTGGGTTTCAACGGTGCGCAACCAAGCACGCGCTCTACACGCGGCGACAGGGGAAGAAGGAGCTCGTCGTCGGCATGTATGTGGATGACTTAATCATCACTGACGCGCTCACGGAGGACATCAACAGCTTCAAGCGAGAGATGACGGCTCGTTTTCGAATGAGCGATCTCGACGTACTCTCCTACTACCTCGGCATCGAGGTGAGACAGGGGAAGGAGAAACTCACGCTCGGTCAGAGCGCGTATGCTTCCAAGCTGTTGGAGAGGAACTGCATGGCTGAGTGCAAGCCATGCGTAACTCCGATGAAGGAGCGGCTGAAGCTGACGAAAGCCAGCACCGCGGAGAAGGCAGATGCAATACTCTACCGGAGCATCGTCGGCGGTCTGTGCTACCTAGTCCACACGAGGCCGGACATTGCGTTCACCGTAGGCTACGTCAGTCGCTTCATGGAGGATCCCAGAGAGGATCACTGGGCTGCGGTGAAGCGGCTACTGTGCTACGTCAAGGGGACGGTGGATCATGGGATCATCTTCCCAAAGACCGGCGGGAGTAGGCTACAGCTCACTGTGTTCAGCGATGCAGACATGGTGGCGGACATCGACGGACGACGGAGCACCTCTGGCGTGCTCGTCTTCCTCGGGTCGGCCCCAATTTCATGGCTGTCGCTGAAACAGAAGGTGGTGGTGCTATCTACGTGCGAGACAGAATACGTAGCGGCGGCCACAGCGGCGTGCCAAGTTGTATGGCTGCGCCGACTACTGGGCGAGTTGACTGGCGTGGAAGCTCACTACCAGCACTGATGGTGGACAACCAACCCGTCATCGCCCTCGCGAAGAATCCGATTCTGCACAACAGGAGTAAACACATCGACGTGAAGTTTCACTTCCTCAGGGATTGTGTCGATGGAGGGCAGATCGTCATCGAGTTCGTCGAAACTGGTCGGCAACTCACGGACATCCTTACCAAGCCGCTCGGACGTCTTCGACTCACAGAGCTGAAGGAGATGATCGGCATGGAGGGGGTACAAGGGTTAGCAGTAGGATTAAGGGAAGATTGTTAGATAATCTACTGCTACCTTGTGTGAACACAACAAGGGGAAGGCGGCGCTAAAAAGGCCTCCTGCTGTGATACTGTAGTCGCTACAGGTGCAGGCGCCGAACTGCTCACCTGCAGCACTGTAGGCATATGCAGTGGCCGGCGCAGAGTCAGCCCTGTATGTTATCTAGTCACTGTTGCAACAGAGCAGTTGTACTGGGACTAGATGGGTAGAGTTGTATAAATAGACTACAACAGCAACTCAGTAAAGATAGTTCAGATTTGCTATCTTCCAGATAGGGCTTCGGCCAACGCTGGTGTCTTGTACTGTGTGTGAATGTTCTGTTCTCCCTTCTTCTTCTAACTCCAGCCATAGTGTGTGAGGACGGACAACGCTTGTTCGTGGTCGGCATGGTTAGTGGGTGCTCGGCAACACTAGCAGGTGCTCGACAAAACTGATGAGTGGTTCACTCACATGAACCGGTGATCGTGTGAGCCAACAAATATAAATTTTGTCGGACGTCGTCACATCTAATCGGGATCATTAAAAATCATCGGACAAAGTAAAAAAAATCAAAATTGAATTTCAACAAATTTAAATACAATAGTACGCTAAAAAGGATGTATAGAGATCGATAGATAGATTATTTTTTATCGGCATCTACGGATAAACAGTATAGAAGTAGACGGCCGGGCTGGTCGACCGCAGAAGGATGGGTAAGTTTTTTGTGCATTGATTGGGCGGGGAGCCGGGGATGGACTCACTCTTGGACGGATTAATCCGGTCAAATGACTGACCTGGGCACGTGTTAATGCCCGGACACGGACAGGGATCGAAACCGACGAGAGAGCAGCCGGTCAACCTTGCTCGATCGCGCGCGTAGTACGCGTCAAACGCCACCGCCACCAGATTTATGCCGCGGCAAGGACACGCGTCGCTACTACGCCCCGGCCGGCCGGCCCGTCGATCGCGGATTAGATAGAGCGGTTATTAGGCGCCCTCGATCGCTAATAATCCTTCGCGCCAATGTCGAGGATGGCACATGCATCGTCCGCGGGTGGGGGGGTACGGCGTTTTTTTGGGGGGTTCCATTAATGCGATCGAGCTGGAGAGCTGTGACGGCCTGACGGGGGGAGGACGACGGAGTCGGAAGCTGGGTTTGCAAGCCACCGGCCGGCGACAGCGACCGGCGGCCGTGAGCGCGTGCGTGGCGTGGATGGATCGGCGGCCGGCCATGCATGGACGGCCGGTGGCGACCGAGCGCCCGGTCCCGGCGCCTTCGCGGAGACTCAAAGTGCACGCGTGGGAGAGAGATGGAGAGTTATTGCGCGCGGCCGTGCGACGGCTGCGTCGCAACGACGATCGAGGGGCAAGAGGCAAGAGCTCGGCCGGCCGGCGAAACCTTTTGTGGGGTGGGGCTCAGAAAGGGAGGTGTCGAGGGACGGCGGTTGCTCGACTGGGCAGCTAGCGCTGACAACGGTAACTCCATCCACGGCGGTCGACATGGACGGCTGCATCGTGGACCTCTCGCCGTCTTGGCATCCGATCGGGGATCGTTTCCATAGGGGCAATGAATGAATGCCAACCCGGTGTCGTTCAGTTGATTTTGATACGATCCGTGCACGTGGGCCCAATCAGACCCAACCCAAATACTAGATAGCAGTGCACCAACGCCAAGTTAGGGGCCTACTAAGTAATGATGGACCAGCCCATTAAGTTAGGGGCCCGGTTTTTTTCTCCCGAAAAACAGGAAGCCCATCCAGACTCTACGGCCCAGCCCAATCACCTGTCGAAGGCACGTAGCAGCCCGCGGGCCGCGCGCTAAAACCCTTGCAGATATTTTTAGTCTCATTCCCCTAAAAAAAAGATATTTTTAGTCTCATCAATGCCCCCTTCCGGTTCCGGTTCGGACCCTTCTATCCGATTCTGTCTCGCGTTCCTCTCGTCGCTCCGGCAGCTCCCCGCGCCGACAAATGGCGCCTCCCGCCTCTGCATCGGCGCGGCCGCTATCCCTCCCCCTCACCGTACCTCTCTCCCGTTACCGCTCCCATGTGCTCCCCGCAACCTGCTATCGCGTCTTCCCCCGGCGCCGCGTCGCGCTCGCGCCGGCCCGGCCTGGCGCCGCGCTCCTATCCAGCCTCAGTGACGCGCGGGAGGACGAGGAGGAGGAAGAGGAAGGGGATTTCTATGAGGAGCATGAGCAACAGGAATACGACGGTGAGGAGGAGGAACAGGGTTACGACGCGGAGAACGAGGAGCTGGTCGAGGTGGGATACGTGTCCGGCGCGCACGGGGTGCGCGGCGACGTCCTCGTCACGCCACGCACCGACTTTCCGGAGCTCCGCCTCGCCACGGTAACACCGACGTCGATTGGCTGTGGGCTGTGGCCACTCCAATCCCAATGGCAATGCGACTAATTGGCTGACGTTTCTCGTTTGTTTGTTTGTTTGTTCTGACAGCCGGGGACGAGATGGCTGAGGGCTCGGGCTGCTGGGAAGCAGCAGGTCAGGGAATTCAAGCTTGTTCGGGGAAGGGCCCACACGGGGAAGAAGAGTTGGATAGTCAGCTTTGATGGCGTCGATAACCTGGACGAGGTTTGTCTGCTTTGCATTCCCCTGGAGTCATTTGCCTTTTGCTGGTTAATCTGTGTACGGTGTACCTCAACTAGTCTAAGTGGTAGTGTAGTAAGCAGCCTTGCTCAGTTTCTAGGATGAGCAGTCCAATCAATTATCCTAGCTGTAATACTTGTTTATAGTTAGTGGACAGCTTGCCGGAAATCCTTGTCTTACTGCAAAATCGTGTGCTGCACTGTTTCTGTTCCTCTCAGTCTGCATATGAGATGTACAGTCACAAATCACAACAGCTGGCCGGCTCAAGTTCTGTGACTGGGCTTGGCATGACTTTCAGAGTAGTCCAGTTCAAACTATCGAATGTTGCTCTTCATTGAGTTTGAGTTACTGCTCTAGGTTACGTTTTCTGACATAATTCATTTTCCTCTCTTTTCAGGCTAGGCAAATAGTTGGTTCGGCTGTACTTGTGAAAGCTGGAGATAGGCCAGAAATTGAGGACGATGAATTCTATTCACTTGACCTTGTTGGAATGAGAGTTAATGTGAAGGTACATACATCTTTGTTTTATTTTTCAAGATATTGTCCAATGCCGCTTCATTGGCTGATTTCAGTTACAAAATTAAGATACTCCCTCTGTTCCAAATTATAAGTTGTTTTGACTTTTTTAGTACATCAAATTTGCTGTGTATCTAGACATAATGTATATCTAGATACATGGCAAATTCGATGTACCAAAAAAGTCAAAGCTACTTATAATTTGGAATGGAGGGAGTACAATGTAGGAAATTTTAAAAAGCATGCCCCATGCACTTTTATACTACTTGATAAGGGAAACTTAGGTTGATGCCACTGTAAATGGTTGGTTAAGACTTAAGAATGATTTGTATTTTAAAATAGCTCCCTCCACTCCCAAAAAGTAGACAACAATTATGATCTTCATTTGATACTTTTTCAAAACTGCTTTGTCCACCCCCTGCAAATAGAGTAGTAAACACCACAGCCAAAATGCACACACAGTATCCTCTTTTTTTTGCGAGAAACACAATATACTACTTATTGTTCCAGGGTAATCTTGTTATCAAATTTAGTAACTGAAATCATTTCACAGGATACAGGCAAGCTCGTTGGAACAGTTGGTCAGGTTTTCAATTTCGGAGGTGGAGATCTTCTACAGGTGATGATTGGCTCTGCTGAGGGTACTGCTGTCGATCAAGATTCAGAAAGTCAAGATTCAATTTCATCACGTGAGCATGTGTGGATACCATTTGCTGAAGATATTGTACCTGATGTTGATATGGCAAGCAGAGAAATGTGGATTACACCTCCGAAGGGGTTACTTGAACTCAATTCTCGTTCTGATAAGAGGTCGAAGAAAGAAAGGCGTGCGATGGTTAGGTCTGCATCATCCTTTTCTTGCATCAATGCTCGCGTCTACAGCCATGATTTGCATCTTAAAAGAAACAAAGAATGTGTCAGGTTCATAGTACTGAAATGTTGATAGCAGCAGATGTCCTGGCTATTGAAGATTGTAGATATTTATGTTGCATATAGTATAACAAATCAAATTATACAATTAACTTCCATGCTTCAGGTCCTAACAAAAAACAATATGATGTTTGGTGTTTGATGGTTTGTACTGTGTTATTTTTCAAATAATTCATGACCCAGATTTGATTGTTACAGGAGTGGAAGGACAGGAAGAGACTTCAACGTCGTGTAATTGCAGGAAAGAAGGTGCTCTCTGAAATGGACCAGGTCCATGTTCTGGAAGGTTTGGTATCAGGGGACAAGATCCAAAAGGCATCACTTGCAGAGCAGATTGGGAGCATTGACTTTCAATTGTTCCGACATGCAGTGCATTGTGCTAGCAAACAGATTGAGAGGTATCGCCCTTTGTTCGACATCCTACCAAAATTTTCTTCAAAAGAAACAGGACAGTATGTTTATTTACTATATACACATGTGACACTGCCTAGGTGCCAGATATGCAAATCACTCTTTGTTTGCTTTTGGTGGAAGAACAGCCTTTAGTCATTTAAAAAAAAAAAACTCCTAATCATAGTTGCCCTTCAAACTTGTCAATTTCAGCTCTTCAAAGAATTTGCTGGCTAACTCTTCACTGTCAAGAAAAAAAGTGGTCAAAATACCATATAAGACTCTCATCTACCTTGGGGACAAAGCTGAACATGCTGCATTCAGCAGTGAATTCAAAAATGGTCTTGAGATTCTTCTGAAGTCCAAAGCAGCTATTGTACTTGTTAGAAATGGCCCTGACTCTGATGCCGAGTTTCTGAGTTTGCTCAATTCTTTTAGTGAGTTAATGAAGGTATGCATTCTTTTTCATTGTCGTTAATTGTTGTTCTATAGGTGCAGAATATGCTGATGTGAGTGCATGCTCTATTTATTTTCATACATTGTTAACAATGTAGATTTGGTGTCCTTGGGTGTGTGCGTCCTCATTAGCTAAAATATCATGTCATAATGTTTTAAATTGAAAGTCAAGATGTCAAGAAACAAAATAGACAAGCAGTCAACCTGGTACTGTTCATCATGTGCTGACAGTGACACTTGTGTTTTTTGAATCTCAATGTCAAAGATGGATTTTAAACTGAATTGTTGTGGCTACACATTACTTTAGGTGTACTACATATTTTTTTTAATGAATTTCTGAAACATTGTAACATGATATTTTAGCTAAAGAGGACGCCTACACCCCAGGACACCAAAACATTGGTGTATTGTCAATTCCTAGTATGCTTAATTTCCCCAAGGAACATAATAGTAAATATAGGAAAAGTGGAGAACTGCTACTGATCGCTACTGTTGATACTGAAGTTGAACCTGCTCATTGGTCCTGTAGTTTTCAACTGTGTTTGAAGTGGATAGCTCCTTTTTAAATGGGGAATATACTTGACAAATATGTTGTCGAAATGATTAGTCTGTTTAGTCATGAAAAGCTGGAACCATTGTCAGTAGCTTGTTGCTTATTTGCTGCATGCATGCAGTGCTGTTACAAGTTATGCTTACATGATGGCAAATGGTTATCGTATTTTTGTCTTGAATAACAATTGATGGATAAGTTTGATCCTTTTTTGCTTGACACAGGTTGTAGAAAATCAAGTTTCTCCCCCTTTTATTATCGTTTCCCCAGCTGGTCATGTGGAATCAGTTAGGAACTGCCTGGTAGAGAATGACTATTTTGGTTTGGACACTCAAAAGGTACACGGCATTGTCTCGCTGCGGTCTCCATCCTAGTTCCATCCTCCGTGCTTCCTATAGGCTATAATGCTTCTGAAAACATTCACAGGTGTGGGTGCTGGAAGAGCTGGAGCTTCCAGTTGTCAGTATATCATCCGAGGGAAACAAAAAAAAGGTTCTGATGAAGTCTCCCTGGGAGATAATAAAAAAACCAGCAGGATCCGGTGGTATCTTCAGCTTACTATCATCAAACAAAATATTGGAAACCCTTAATGAAATGGGTGTGCAGTATACACAGGTACGATCATGTGCCAGTCATCACCTAACTTTCTTCTCATCATACATTCAATTGCATTAACTAATCGTTGCAAGTTACTAAGAACAAATCACTTTGCTGTATGGAACGACAAGAAGAGATATGTTCTAGTTAAGCTTGTAAATTCCTTCGAGCTCGGAAATATGAGCTCAAGGATTCTTATTACCTGAACCGACTTTTACCATCTTGTTGCAGATCTGCAGCTCATCCAACAGGCCATTCATCGGGCACCCTTTGCTCTTTGGGGCTGTTGCTTCCCGCGGGGCTGATGTTGGTATCCAGCTCTCCAAGACCGGTGATGAAACGGAAGACGATTTCGACGTGATCCTTTCCGTCGACCAGCTGAACAAGACGTGCCGAGATGTCACTCAGGTCAGATTCTCGGCTCGCCCGGAACAGAACGCGCATGGCGAGCATGTCGACGGCCAGTGGGTCGCGGTCCAGCCGGAGGTGGCGAATTCCCTTCGCCTGCACGCCGAGGTTACGAGTGTCTTAAACTCTTGCGCTCCTGATAAGCTGTGTGTCATGGAGATTGTTGAGCAATAGAAGTTTCTTCTTGCCAGTGTACTGTACATAATCACAGTTGCTTGATAGATGCGTGACGTTTTTCTTTTGCTATTGCTCTGCACCTGCTTTATGAATTTTTAGGGGAGCATCTAGGCAGTGGAATACCACCCACTGATGAACTGGCCACCCACTGCCGATTCTACTCCCCCAGAAGGATATATGATAATAACAAAAATTCCAGCCTCGTGCCCTATTCAGACTTAGGCCCGTTGGATTATCATGAGATTGTTAGTTATTACATTAATCAATGTTATCTTAGAGCCACTGTGAATACAAATCTAGATTTGACGTAATTATTATTGTACACTGAATATGCATATAATTTGATGGAGACATGTGTAATGGCCATTTGGAAAATTCCATCTATAAACATCATTATATGATTTAAATGTTTATAACTGGAACAGAACATTTCAATTGGTTAAATACAAAATTAAGCGTTGCACTGTACACCTATCCACAAATTTCCCTTAGCCTTCTCTTCAGATGGATAATCTTCACCCTTTCTTCGAAAGGGGCAGGCGGTGACCCGTGAGAATTGTCGACCGCCCTCCTCTTCACTTCTTGCGGCATAAGGAAGATCACTTCACAACGTTAGCCCGAGATCATCCCCATTGCTCATCAACCAAGAGCAATGAAGGCGACACACGCCATTACACAGCCTGAAAATCCTTTCCGGACACCTGCATCGTTGGTCAGGTATGCGCGTGCTCCGAATTTCCAGGCATAGGGAAGGGGCAGCTGGAGCTGGCGAGCTGCACTCCGGTTCCCCATCTTATTACCCTCCCCAAGGGCATTGCTTTTAGTACAAACTTGTAACTCCATAGTGAAGAACACCGGCCTGACTGTACCCACCAGCGACCGCTGCGATGCCATTGAAGGGAGCAACGCCATGCAGCGTGCTCCTATGGAGGGTGGCCCTGTCTGTTAGATCAGCTTTGGG